CCTTCTAGACTCAACAGACACTCTGTTAAAATAAAAATAAATCCATCTTAGAGGACATTGAGAGACTTTACCACCAAAGCTGTGTCCGACAACATATTCTTTCATTGAAATCTTTTGAGTTTCAAGATAAATAGTGTTGTGTAAAGCTTTGCGTTTGTTTTGCTCAGCACATTTCAAATCAGTACTTTTCAAAAAGGCAGAGGTCCGTTTTCCTAAATCATTTTTTTCTCGCATTTTTGAACTCTTCCGTTGTACTTACGATACTTTACACAAAAGCAGCAGTGGTCCCCTTCTTGGAACACGATTAACAGATGCACAGGATTGTGAATGCTATGCAAAAATAGCATTAAAAAATGGGAAAAAAGAAAAAAGATTTTGAAAAATGGACTTCCACCCTTTACAAAAGTACTAATGGGTCAGTTGCACTGGTCACAGAATGGTGTTTTGATGCTTGATTCTAGTAGACTAGCTAAGGTTATTAAGATCTGTCCAAACTGCAACTTTCTACGTTCAATATTAACCGACATATTGCCCTTTGAAAAGTTGGGTTTTTGACATCATCCACCGCGGTAGTGACACCCTTGGTTTCTTCCACATTGCTTTCATCAGCGTTACATGTAGAGCAACCAGTGCTAATGTGTGTCTCCCTGACTGATAAAACCAAGGTGGAAGAAACCAAGGGTGCCACTATCGCGGTAGATGACATAAAAAACCCGACTTTTCAAAGGGCGATATCTCGGTTACGTAGAAAGTTGCAGTTTGGACGGATCTTAATATTTTTAGCTAACCTGCTGTAATCAAGCATCAAAACACAATTCTGTGACCAGCACAACTGACCCATTCAATTAAGGCCAGCTTCATTTTTGTTTACTTTCACAAAGCAGAATCTCAAAGCAGCACTAATAATACAACTGCATTTGTAAACTATCACTCGAGGAGCGACACTAATCATACTTTTTTTGCCTTATCAAAACCATTATTCATGCTTAGCCGTGCTTTCTCTTACATTTAATATCTATTCAGAATAAAAAACTGAGCTACTCTCACCACAAGTATCAAATGAGTCATAAGACTCAATAGTCATGAGTCATCAATACTCTTTTTTCTTAAATGTCTTCTGTTTAAATTTATTGATCTACATCAACAGAGAAAAAGGCAAGTTTTCAGGTAACAATACTCGAGATGGAGCTGAAGGCTTACTTGGAGAAAAAACGCTCCCACGTGACAAATGACGATTTATTCCAAACCCACATGGACATTAGAACACCGGTAGAAAACAGGGCTAGGACCTGTAACTGCAATATGAAGACGCTCGGGTGCTCCTTCATGCGACATTTTTCTTCCAATACATAACTGTCAAAAGATATTCCAAGCTGACATCTGCAACAAGGGATGAAAAATGTTTCTATTACTTCAGTAAAACAGAACAAGATTCATAGTTACCGAAATGCATCGAGACCCTCATCTGATAATTAAAAACAGATTACGATAGAAAAAGTGAATAACTGCATACTTCAATTCAAAAAGATGTAGACGTCTCTGCACATTTTAGTTTTTAAAGGAAAATTGATGAACATCATGTCACACAATTTACAGAGATGCAGACTCCTCTGCACATTTCAGTTTTTGAAAGGAAAACTTATAAACATCATGTCTTAAAATATCAATTGACTTTTTTCATTCTATACAAAATAATTTGTACACGGACACCACACAAAATACCGACAAAGCCGGCGCCGGCTAAAGTTCGAGATTTTTTTTATAAATGTTCCTTACAATCCCTTCAGTAACATGAGTTTTTAAAATCGAACTATCTTGGTGCCAATCTCAAAGAAATCAGGATTTCAGCAGTTTCACACGCCTTATCAAAGTGACAGGTGTAAGAGATCGAGGAGCAAGCTTCTGTTCCATCACCTTGCGCCGGCCAGGGAGATGAGACGACACAGCTACAAAAGTTCAGTACAAAAGGCTCTGCATCTTCGACTCAGCGACAAGGCCACAAATCATTGTGATTGTTTGCAAGAGTCTATTTTCAAATATATACTGTTGAATTTTACTCGATATAAGTTAAAATTGTCCTTTTTATGATGCTATGTTAAGGAGCTTCTTAAACCGCCCTTGATCATCACCAAATGAGCCATATACAACCTCTTAAGGAAATGAGCTGTTTGAAGAACGGCCAAGAATAAGAGCATTAGTATTTACTTTAAAATTCATCTTTTTCAATTTTTCCTGATAGATTGATGATTTTTGTATAGTTCATGCAAACATCAGAAGTTACTGGATCCTCTGAGAGCTCAAAAATATATTGATACACCAAAATATACAACTGAAATCGGAAAAACAAATGTGTGAAGTTGATTTAAAATAATCAAAATTCAAGCAATAACGTACACGATATATTGACGAAAGCTTAGTTTCCAAGATTCCACGTGTTCAAACTGATACATATGACAGATCAATGTTATTGACACCAACAAAATGATGAAAATCATGAAGATCAACATTTTCACGATCACATCACGAATCTTCCGAGTGGCTCTCTCACAGATTATTTCTTTGCTACCTCTTATTAATCGAATCAATGTCAGGAGTGCTGGAAAAAACAACATGATTGAACAGTTTAGTAGAAAAAAGAGGTGACCACCAATTTTTTTGAGTTATAGACAGACTACTGTTCCTTGAGGATAGAGGCATTGCAACACTAAGCCCGCCAAGTAACGATATTTTTATTGTATTTTCCTAGGGAAGATACATTATTGCGATCACCTCTGAGACTAGATCAAAGGCCAAGAGACCTTCTAAAAAACACCATGATAGCTGTTTAGATTCTTCTTCCCACAATATATAAAATCCTTTTTTCTTGGCCTGAGCTTGTCTCTAGTCCTTTAATATTTTAACTGTTTTAATATTTTAATTTTGTATTTTCAGCGACTGAGGAAGGCATGGGAGAGCACCAAAATGTCTCGATTTATATAATATCATGTTCCTAGCCTTTTCACTGCGACCATGTATTAATTTTATGTATGTATATGTGTCTATTTTTTTTTGACTGTTAACAACTGATAAAATGACAATGAAAACTGACAATACTTAATGAGCAGTTTTCCAAAAAAAAAAATTAACATAAAAAAAATAAGTGTATCGGAGAATTATAGAATTTTTATTGCTTGTCTAACTCCTCAGATTCTGAACAAAAGGCCGTACTCATATTCTTGTCCATCTCTACATGCACAACGATTGAGCTAAGATCTAAAAGCGAATATTCACTTGGCTTAAATAGGATGTCTACTGAAATTTATTGCAGAAATAAGATATTTTTGATGTGCCTTTTTTTTCGCAAATGATGTAAAGGAGGCACCTCCTCTTTTAAAAAAAATAAAATCTTTGGAAAAAACATTACAAAAATTTACCCGAAAAAAATCGTTGATTTTTACAGAAGCAGATGTGGATAGATTTCAACCAACAACTTGTATCAAATGGGTTCAATTCAAATGTGTTTCTTGGCCCATGAATAATGAGGTTCTTTGATGAGTACAAAACAGTAAAAACGGTTAACTTGCTCTTGGACTTTTAATAATACTTACGTGTATATTGATCCAAGAAGAATTGATAAAGGACAGAAAAGAATTAAAGATTACAATGAGCAAATGAGCAGTGAGTTTGCAAATTGAACAGGTACTGACTATTAAGGTAGGCAGGGCAAAAAAGTAAGCTGACACACGTGCACATGCCTATAATTTTAGTTTAATGTGAATATTCATTAAAAACTATGCAAGGAAATTTTGGTTGAAATAAATTAAGTATACCGCATTATCTCCGCGATGATCCCTAATTCTCATTTTTTCATGATGACTTTTTCAATGAAACATGTTGATGAAGAGAGTTTTGACTAAAGATGGATAAAATCCATAATTACTTGTTTATTTTGTCAATTTCAATCAAAACTAATATTAAGCTTGTAAAATTTTACTTGATTAGGAACTGATCCCTATCTTCACTAAATTTTCTAGATGAATAACAGGAAATGGATGGTGAGATTCTCAAACCACGTACCTCGTTTGCAGTAATTTAAAATCTTCCCTCTTACTTGGTTTTTTGTAAAAGAGAAGAAATCACCATCATTCCATAAAGTTTTCACAGAATTGTCTTTGCATCTACAGGAGAAATCAATCAATTTTAGGAACTGACAGAGAGTGGTGTTTTACTAAAAAAATGAAGTATGACAGGAGAACTGCAACAACAGATTTACCGTTGAAATGTTAATAACGCGATCAGACCTGAGTAGACTAAACTAACGCTGAGGAATCGGATAAAAATATTTCAAATGCGAAAGAAACATACCTTCACCCAGGTAAAATCCACCGATGAGTAGGGCGACAGCTAAAGGAACCAAAAGAAAAACAATTCTTACGATAGGATTTTGCCCGCCAACAAAACAGATACCAAAAACACTGCTTGCATCTACTTTACTCAGAGCCATGACCGTAATGGTCAGAACGAGTGGCAGGGACCATGCTGCCAAATGAAAATAAGCCCCTTGTTTATCAATCTTCGATTGAATTTTTCCTGGAACAGAAACTGCATCGTTAATTTTTTAAATTGGAAGATATGCTCAAAGAATCAGCCAAGAACTACATCGTTTTTCTTCTTGTGATCCAAAATTTACTCTATAACACCTGATCCAGCATTACTTGAGAGTCTCCGAGAGTTGACAGGATATTATAGCTACGGGTATTCTACGATCATAATTAAAAATGTTTATGGGTTGTACATTCAAGAGAACCACTCTGTTCACTTTTTTGGCCTGAAAATATGATTTAGCTATCTTGTTCTGAATCATGCACTAATCACCCAGTTTTCGAAGAAGACTAGGACACTAAGACCTACACCTTTTTTTTTAAAACAAAATAAAACATTAAATTTAGTTCTAAATCAAATGAGCTAAAATGCAATTGAACAAAAATACTATAGGATAACTCTAAGATGAAAATTACTAAACTCGCGTTGTGCTTTTAATTTAGACAAGTTCGGAGGGTTTCAACGTTTCCCATTTGTGCAGCCCATTCCAAACTTGAGTCTAATGGTATGAGACATCTCTGTCCAGACTTAAGTCCATTTTAACAGACACGTCTTTGACAGCCATTCTTGCTCAAGGAACAGAGTGGTTTCAAGAGAAGGAAAAAATGCAGAGATAAATGATACTGTAATTGATTATTATTTAATAAATGATCACTGTAATTATGATAATGATCACTGTAATTGATTATTATTTTTTTGTGAAGAGATACTTGCAGCTCTGAAGATTCTCTGTTACGGAGAAACCTCAATGAGCCAGTTTTGACCGCGACACCGGGAAATTACCAACCAAAGAGGGTTGCCGACTTAAACTGTTTCCCTGTTTTTCTGATTTGCAAATTCGAATTTTGCACTTTGAAGAACATGGCCACAATTGCCTGCTGCACAATTTTTCTGATGAGTACATATTAAGAATTTTAGCTTATGTAATGAAAGAAGCAAAGCTTTCATTCCCTTACCAAGAGCTTGGAAAATTATATGCCAAGCATAAGTCTGGATGACGAACCATACAATACTTGCGATCAGGAAGTAATATACGAGGACAAAATTGACTATACAAGAGAGATTTTCTCCAACACTGCAAAAAGAGAAAAAGTATACAATGATTAGTATCAATTCTTTCCAAATGGATGTTGCTCTGTAGCAGCTGTAAATTCAAATGACATCAATCCGGATAAAAGAGAGGGGAAAAAATTGAAAGGAAAATAAAATTATCTGACAACAAAGCAAGAGGCTGAGATCATGAGAGATTCATGAGCTTAGAGTTCTGTTTTCTGCAGACTTACGTGGCCAAAAATTGGTACTAATTATACAATCAACCCCTGCTAAGTTGAGTGCTGTTTAGGACAAATTTACGTCTAAGTTGCAATTTTGCTTGATCCTGTCCAATTCCCTGATGTTATTAGAGCTAACTCGAATTTTTAGTAAAATAGCATCCTCCTACTTCAAACAAATCCTCTCCACAAGGAGTTTTATTTACTGATCTCTAACTCTTTTGGCCAAATTGATAAAAGTACAGAGGAGGGCATTCACTATTATTGTCTTATCTGAAGCTCAGACGATTTAGAGTGAATCAGATTCAGTATACTGCTGGGCACCAAGAGGAGATCTATGAACATTAGTATGGACTGCATAGTGCGGCTCATTCTCTCTCATTCATTGAGTGTTAAAATTTAATGGGTAGATGATAACATTGCACAAGAAAAAGTTCCATGATGGTTCGATAGAGGGCCATCAAAAACAAACAAATCAAGATTTACCTTGGCTCGGAGGTCCTGAGAGTTTTGTCTTTGCGACAAATTATGTCCTTCTGAGAATTGAAAAGGACAGGGTACAACCAGCCCATGCAGACTATCAAAAAACAAAGATTAATGTAGAACACCACCAACGCAGGGTATTTATTTGATGATTTCCAATCCAGTAAAAATGTGATCTGAAAAAAGAGAGTTAAAGTAAGATGATATTCCAGGGACAAAACAGATTAATAGATGGAATCATACAGTATAAAATTGATTTATATCATGAGGAGACGGAGTGATTTTCTTTTTCGGTGAGAATCTTGAATTCAAGCACTTCGTCGTTTCCCCGTGAAAGAAGGTGACTACATTTCAATGTTGCCAAATTTCCCCTCGCAAATTAAATTTTTACCAGGAGAATCTTCGGCATTTCTAACAGAAAGTTTTACTGATTCTTTTTTGTTTGCATAGATAATTATACACATATTGGACAAAAAATACAAGGGTACATTCTTGTACAAAAGGAAATTATTTGAGTCAATTTTTCAATCTTACAATGGAGTTATATTGCTTCATCCGGGAAATAACGACTTGTCTAAAGCTTTTTTTGGAGCAGTCCAAAAATAATAGAAAATGTTTATGGACCTGCGAGGCTCCTTTCCAGGCTTCCTCCTATCTTTCAGACTTGTAATGAAACTCTCAACTTATTCCAGACTTTCTGAATGTGAGGACTTTCAGTCATAGAGATTATTCATTTTTAACAACATGAAAATAGAGCGATTAGTCTCAAAATCATCGAGAGCCCCTATCAAATACAGAATTCCAAAACAATGATGGAAGAAATTTAACTCACCACAGTGAAGCCATTGAAGAGACCCGATATGATGGCACCAACTGTTGCCCACTGACGAACCTGGCTCAACTCTTCAGGTGTGAGCATCGGCTCATCACACGGCACCCCGCAGCCTTCTATTCCATCGTAGTATGAGCTGTGTTGATCGACTGGGACTAGGGGAGCTTTACATTGACCAGTTGGGTTGAATTTTAATTCAAGCACATCATTCTGAAAGCAAAATAACTCATTAGCTGGGAGCTGAAGTAACTGAAATTTCAATTAAAATGGCCGTCATACAATTCACATCAGGAGCAAATGATTTCATTTCAGAAAAGTAGCAGAATATTCACCTCACGTGGCAATGACATTGCGAGCACAGATACATGATCTCTTATTACAATTGCAAAGAAAATAAACAAACATGGGTAGAAAAATATGCAGCGGTCAATTCTTCATGTGATGCCATGGGATTTATTGTCATGATATTTCTCTCATTGAAATATGATTGTTGTTTTTTCAGCTGAGAAAAACGTATCACAGGGTGTCTATTAAAACAGGCTAGCCAAAAATCAGTACTTTTACAGTACTTTTTCAGTACATTCCCGGGAAATTCAGTACCTCCTCAGCAGGAAAATTCAGTGCTTTTTCAGTACCCCCTACTGACAAAATCGTGATTGCACTTTGACACCGGGTAGTTGCTGCGCCAATGTACCAACATGGAATTTTAAACCCGTTTGGTGGTGAGATGGGTTAACAAAAAAACAACTTTTCTGCCATTCTACTGAACAGAATTTAAAATACTATAGCTCGTTAAAAAGCTGACATTATGACCAATAAGCGGTTTCTTACGGATTTTAATTTTATGCAGTAGTGTAGAAGTTTCAGCAAAAAGATACTTACTTTTGGAAGTCTCTTCTATTTAAAATCTGCCCCTTCTTTAATTTTTTTAAAATTACCACTCCTAAACTTCTGGGAGAAGTATAGCGGTTTTGCATTCAAGTTTGTTCTACTATTTCACCTTATTGACCATGAGCCTTGGCCGACTCAGAGAACTGACCCTGACAGTTGCAGGAAAGAGGTGATGAACAAGGATGTTTTAACTGTAAGCAAATCTTTCAACGTCAGAAGCCTCAAGTATCCAACTTTTTTCTTTCTAGCATTTACTTTGGATTCATATTTACTTAGCATTAACATTGAAGGTTTCATTCACCGTTGTAACATTTTTCTTCATCAACTTGTTCCTGCAACAGTTCCACTGTTCCGACCGAGTCTAAACCAACCTTGTGATACAAAATGTGTTATCAAATGTGTGTGCAAATTTTAATTCCTAACCCTAGCTTCTCCCTCAGGAATGGGAAATATTAATACTGTGAGTAATTTCCACGATGTCTTACCCAGACATCATGGCTCCTGTGGAGGAATCGATGCAGGTGCTGGTTGCAGTAGAGGCTGCAGTGGAGGTTGCTGTGCAGGTTGTGGAGCAATTATTTTGGTGGGTGGTCCTACATGCCCACGGCCCCAGCTTGTCCTCCTCCCACGCATTGGAAAGTCTGAAAGAGAGAATCCAATAGTTGATCAAAAGATGAAATTTCATAAATAATTTGAAACAATAAAAGCACTTTGGAGGACCAGAAATAACTTCCCAATACTGCCTATTTTTCCTACAGTGAACGACTCCACTTTCATGTTCTTTACGAAGATGATTGTTAATGATGACAAACCAGAATTATCCTCTTCTTCATCAGAATTGAAGGATGTACAGTTCAAGCATTTTATACAAACTTCCTTTTCTAAGAAATCCTCAGAAATATCGCGATCCCAAAGTCAACCACAAATTGGGTACTTCCTTGAGAGAGAATATTTTGAAGGAGTGACTATGCATTCCGTCTCAAGTTGTGTCAGTGTCATTTCTCCCTTCATGCTTTTCTATTAGTTACTGCCTTTCCACTGAAGCGCATCCCTTTGTGCCAAAAAAAAACTGCAAAATACACCATGTGATTGGAAATATGAGTTTCTTTCAGTTACTTTCTCATTCATCACCGTGTTATCTACCAAATCTACCACGTATGATCACCAACTATTCCGATGTATTTTGAGCCGCTGAGTCCGAAAATGACCTTCATTTTTCCCTGTCACCTCTCAGTATTCCGGGAAAGCGACTTTTCCCCGGAAAATGAGCAAATTTGAAGTGTATTTTTCATGCATGCCATTTATTTGTATAAATTTTCCTGGACCCTTGGTACAGTCACTCTAATGTGTTTTAAGCCGCTGGATCCGAATATGACCTCAGTTTTTTTCCATCACCCCCGAATTTTTCGGTAATGTCGATCTTTCAGAGCCTAAATTTGTGTATAAGCTTTCCCGGACTCAAAGGGGATCAAAAATGTATTTTAAACATGTCTATGTATTTTGACTCGCTAAACCCGAATATGATCTTGGATTTTTCCGATCACCCACGATTTTCCTTGGAAAACTAACTTTCTACCTAGGTGTTTTTCCGACGATTTTCCTATTGCAAGGAGTCTAAGAAATTTTCTGAGATCCTCTCTAGATCCCTACTGCTGTACCTATTAAGAGCAGCTGAATTCAAATTTGATCTCTATTCATCTCTGACAACCCCCCATTTTCTGGAAAGTCAGACTTTTCCGGGAAAAAAGCTTTTCCGAACCGTCCCCACCTCCAGGGAAATTTGAAAAATTTTCCGCAAGTGTGATACATCGATTGTTATGTAGTTTGAGCTGGAAAACCCTAATTTGACCTCAGAAATTCGTTATCACCCACCATTTATACGGAAAGCTCGATTTTCTGAGAAAATTTTGTAAATATACCAAAAAACACGTTCTCCAAGAAAAATCTACTTTTCCGACAAAATGGAGGGTGCTAGGAAAAATTGGAGGTTATATTCTGATTCAGAATTTAAAACTACATAGGAATCTCCCCTTCACGGATCCAGGATAATTATTTAAATACTAGCCGTCCTGGACGCGCTTCGCGCGTCCGTCACGGCCAGCCAAGGGGCTGCGCCCCCTGGACCCCTGATCACTCGCTGCGCGAGTGACATTCGGCTCAGCTTTCTCAGTGATTGGACATTTGATCACTAAGATGTATAGATTTTGGAGACTCTGGAGGCAAAAATTTTCGTCACAGAACCTTGTTGCCGGAGCGTGTCATCATTTGCACGTGAATAGATGTGTGGAGATGAAGCGATGATGGGGCTCGATCATTTCTTCAAAAACGCATTTGACTGGGACGTCATCCCTTCGAACGGGTGGTGGAAAAAGACAATCCATGGATCTCCTTCAGTGTTTTGACTTGCTGAAGTGGCAAAAGTTCATCTTTACTTCTTAAGAAGATTATCGGTGGCGTAGAAGTCTAAAAACTGCTCAACGATGGTATAGTTCGAGTTCCGAATCGCAATGAGCCCACTCGTGTTTAATCTTATACTTTCATCACATATAAATTTCTCTGATGTTTTTGTTTTATTCTCTCTGATTGCATATTAGTAATCATATCCTCATTTCATTTCCTTTCCCTTTCCTTTTTCCCTTTCTGGAGCATCTGTGTCCATTTACAATTTTTATTTTAAAATAGCTTTCTTCTAGTATACAATTGATGCTTCAAACGGAATGAATTGTTTTAATGACATTTCTGGCTAAATCATGGGTTTTCCCAGGAAGGCAGCCTCTCGTCCCTCCCGGACTCTATTGTTGCCAGATAAGTTGCTTTTTTAGCACTTTTCCCGATTCAAATCCACGTAAAATTTTCACATTATCGCACAATCTGGCAACCTCTCGAGTGAAATAGAAAAAGGTAGAATCGCTGAAAGTCTGAATCCTTCGAAGTTTATATTAATGAAGACTTGCATGCCAGACTAAAATAAGTCAATTTAACTCAATCTCCCTGCAAAAAGTTAATTGTTCAAATAGAACGTTGTTATGGAGTAGACTATATAGCATTATCTCAATAAAATATGCAAACTTTCAGAAATTAAAAAAAAAGAAGGAAAAATGAAGAGAAAAAATTAAAAAAGGATTTAATAGTCAAAAACAGAATTAAAAGAATTTTTCCGGGATCTAAAGTCTACTGGGGACCACCAGTTTCACTTCATTTTTAATAAGTTTGACAGAGGATCTTAATTTGTCCACTAATTCTTCCATTTTTGACCACCGTGCGATGTACATTTATGAAGCTGAACACGATTAAAAAAAGTGTCATAAAAGTGTCTTTTTTACAAAACTGAGGGCTCATAGAAAAAAATAGAAGCCATTTCCGGACTCAGGGACTCACAATACCTAATACATAATCTAATTTGTAGCCAGGAAAAATCTTACGCACATTCCACAAGGTGTAACAGTCGCAAAAACACCGTAAATGGTCAAAAATAACCATTTTTTCCAAAAAATCGAGTTTTCCGTAAAAATGGTGGGTGACAACAAATTTCTGAGGTCAAATTCGGGTTTTTTCAGCTCAAAATACATAAGAATCGATGTATCACACATGCAGAAAATTTTTCAAATTTCTCTGGAGGTGGGGACGGTTCGGAAAAGCTTTTTTCCCGGAAAAATCGGACTTTCCAGAAAACGGGGGGTTGTCAGAGATGAATAGAGATCAAATTTGGATTCAGCTGCTCTTAATAGGTACAGCAGGAGGGATCTAGAGAGGATCTCAGAAAATTTCTTAGACTCCTCGCAACAGAAAAATCGTCGGAAAAACACCTAGGTAGAAAGTTAGTTTTCCAAGGAAAATCGATTTTCCGGGAAAATCGTGGGTGATCGGAAAAATCCAAGATCATATTCGGGTTTAGCGAGTCAAAATACATAGGAATCGATGTATCACACGTCGCAGACATGTTTAAAATACATTTTTGATCCCCTTTGAGTCCGGGAAAGCTTATACACAAATTTAGGCTCTGAAAGATCGACATTACCGAAAATTTCGGGGGTGATAGAAAAAAACCGAGGTCATATTCGGATCCAGCGGCTTAAAACACATAAGAATGACTGTACCACGGGTCCAGGAAAATTTAAACAAATAAATGGCATGCATGAAAAATATACTTCAAATTTGCTCATTTTCCAGGGAAAAGTCGCTTTCCCGGAAAACTGAGAGATGACAGGGAAAAATGAAGGTCACTTTCGGACTCAGCGGCTCAAAATACATCGTAATAGCCGTTTTTCGTACCGGAGAAAAATTGTACCTACATTCTGCAGGGGGTGATAGTCGCAAAAACACCAAAAATGCCCGAAAATGGCCATTTTTCCGGGTAAAATTGACTTCTTCGGAAAACTGGAGGGTGATGGGAAAAAAACGGAGGTCATATTCGGATTCAGCGCCTCAAAATACATAATTATCACCTTATCTCGTCCGGGAGACATTTTTTTGTCATTTGTTTTTGTTGCACAGCGTATCGAAGCGCCATAAGGTTATGCAAAAAGTTGCGATCTTCGACGGGAGTTCGCTTCTCCCCCGGTTTTGCGTTTTTCTTCCCTGACTTTCCCGGTCGCTAGACACCCTGATGAGGGATTCCGTTCTGCGCTCGGCCGCCGCCTCTGACCTGAAAGTTTCAGCCGTACTTTCTCTGCGCTTGTAATTCTAAGTGCCAATATGTTTGGCTCAAAAAATCAAGCAAAAATTAATCTATATCTTGTGGATCTGCTTTTTGTAATTCGAGAAATATTATTTCAGTTATCGTCGAAGGAAAGTGAAATTCTCAGTGGGGACTGGTGGCGCTATCTGTAATCTTGAATTATCCCTAATTGAACCCTGGATTCACCTTAATTGATGAAATTCATTAAATCCAACCTCCTTCCTCCTCCAAGGAAAAAGTTGGAAAATTTCGAATTTCAAAAATCATTTCCTAATGAGTATCAATAAATTTGAAATCCCAATAAATCTCAAATTTAGAATTACAAATTTAGAGACTTCGGTCAGTTGGAAAGGGATGAAGATGGTAGTGCGAGAAAGTAAAAACTTTTTCGTGACCGCACTTAGACCCCTAATACGTCAATCAATATCGTTCCTTCTGTGATTGACTGATTTGGAAGCAATATCATATCAGACTGTACATCCTTCAATGGTTGCTTTCCATCCTTCAGAGAAATTATGGTGTTATAAGAGTTGTTCCATTTTCAGAAATAATCTAGCTCTGATTATTTTCACATTTCCATCACACGAACCTCCCCACATGTCCTCGCCTGGAGGACTTTTTCCCCTCAGATGAGAAAACTTTGTTCCCAGGTGATAAAATCAAACATCAATTCAATTATAGTAAAGGGAGTAAACAACACTTTAATATATAGTGCTACGTTTAAAGTTAACTTCACATTTCATGCACAGTACATGTTTTGGATTTCTTAATGTTTTTGTTTGAGCCACTGTTGGATCGGCAGTTTGATATTGTAGTGAATGGCGTTTACCGCTGAACTTTTACTTCATCATTCGAAATAACATTCCAGAAAATTGACTAAAAAATAAAAAAATGATGAAGGAAAAAAGTTTTGAAGGGTCATAAGAACTGACACATCAGCAGCCGTGTGTGTGTGAGAAGTCTTAGTTGCACAAAATGCTATCATTTTCATATTCTCACTTGTTGACTTTATTCAGCTACAACTTAGAGAAATTCTGTCTCAAGAAAATATGAAAAACCATCTGAAAAATATATAATACAGTACTCACACTTAATATTCGCATCCAACTGGATATTTGCATCTTCCAATTTATTAAGTTAGCAAAACAGACAAAAACCAAGCGAATAACTAACACACGAACGAAATGTAGCTTCTGATTTTCCGACAACCTAAAAACAAACATTAAAACCATTAGTAAAACTACAAAATATGAGACAGTACTTGTAACCCCCACATGGAACTGCGTCATAAAGGTGTCTGAACATTGTGCTGCGTATTCTCTCATCTAAGAAGAGAAGAAAGGGAGCAAATCAAGGTTCCTTTAGAAATCAAAGCAGACATTTATTGCAAATGGTGCTGGAGACAGACAAAAAATGATCATCATTCACCGAGCAGGAGGCTCATTAATTATCCTGAAGCTTCTACTGTCATCTAAGCAACGCCAACTATTTGATGCTGCAGTTTTTCACTGGTTACTGAAGTTCCAGAGGATACCCCTTTAGATTTAAAATCATCACTTCTCCTTCATTTAGATGATGCATCATGGAGAGACGAATCGAAGAACACTTTTTGTCAGTTCCTCAATTTCCAAGCACTCAGGAGGAGTGAGAGATTTTAGAGACAGGTATCAAAGAGGTACTAACATTGAAATTTAGTTACTCATATGGTGGACTCACTAGCTGGAAAGGGGGTAAAGGGAGTGAATGAAAAATTCGAATGATGGGTGAGGAAGGCTTAAAAATTAAGATAATAAATTTTTAAGTTTCTTCACTCATCTTAAGAGTTTTTCTTTGTCATTCCCGACTTGTAGTATTAGCTAGTGGTAATTGCTCTTGCTGTTAGCCACTGCCCACCAATTCGGGTATAAACTAAAAACTCTTCAAGATGAAAATTTTTAGACGTGAAGAAAATTAATAACAAATAGGCAACAAAAGTTTTGCCTCACATGTCGCATTCCAAAAATTATGAGGGTGCTTGCAGAGGGTCGTGAAAAACAAATTCTCAATATTTCGCCAAACAATCTCACCTCTAATCAACAAAATTGAGGGCAGCATTTTAATTACATTCTAGTCTGACGATCTCTCACCATCACATCGAAAGAGAAGATGTGTAACTGCGCAATGGGTGCGTACCTCATGCCTATGACATTGCCTGAGAGCAACACAGAATCAAGCCCCTGGTCATATACTTAGATCAACTGTTACCCTTCGGACAGTTAATGTTACAATCCCCTGGTGTTTCATTGCTTTCCATACCTGGTTTGCACCGTAAGATTCTTCACCTACGATAGTCTTAAAAGGGCATGAAAAAATATTTAGTGACCGTAGAGATAAGTGGTAATACTTACATCTGGCAGATTTCAAATAATTGTGAAACCTGAGAAAAAAATACTGAGAAACTTAGAACCGTCTTGCTATGGAGTCAAGAACAGCGCAGAAGGACTGACAATGAGACACATGGCCAAAATACAAAATCTTATTAAAAGTTCACGAATCGCCTGAACTTCAGTTACATTTCTTGAATTAAAAAGTTTAGTTTAAAATCTAAGAGCATTAATGGCAGCGAGAATTTTTAAAAAACACTTTTCTGAGAGTAGTGTTAAAACCTCAATTTTGAGATCTTCAGAGTCTTAACTGGCTTATGACTGGAACAAGAATTCACTTTTTTCCGAATTTTTTCAAAAACACAGTAATTTCCCTGTGATAAGAGCTTGAGTTCACAATTTTGGATTCTCGTTTCAGAAAGACAGCGATTTCGTTTGTAAACAAGATGTTTTCTTACATTCAACGAAATATCAAAAAATTTTTCTTTATTTCTTTAAATTAACTGCTGACTCTTATCAGTAGAGAAGAATTCAAGCACTTCCAAGGCCTTGAAAAAAAAGTCAGAACCAATCCCTTACGAAGGTAGAACGAATCGTGAAGATGGGATGCCATGATACTCACTTTAACCAGCATGTGCTTTTCGGTGGGTGTCAGGTACATCTTTGTTTCGAACATGTGCACACACAGATTGACAACATCGGACAGAAGCTCTTTGTAACCGATTATTTTTTCCAAATTCTCTTTCACCGTGTCTCGAATTTTGTTCTGTGAAGCGAGAAACATGGATGAATTCTGCGACTCTTGCAGGGTGTGTGAATCTGCCATAACTTTCGAGAACTGGGCGGCACTGAAAAAAGAGGCAATGGTGTAGAGACTTGTCACGATACTTCTGAGCTACAACGGAGGTTTGATATGAATCGGAAGGAAGGGAGAAAACTGTTCGATGTCAAGGACAAAGGACTTAACTCTCCACAATGCAACACAGGGTTGCCACAGAGTTTAGAAAAGGAATTTTCCTGACTAATTTGGGTAAAATTTCTTGACAATTGAAGATATGCCAGATGGCTGAAAGACATAGAACTAGGGAAAGAAAAGAAGAGACAAATGTCACATCCAAAAATTGCACCATTCAACAGATACTTACATGCTAACCAATGGACCCACTGATGATTGATGCATTCAGACTGATGTGACTTTTGACTCTTCTTTTCTTTCCCCAGTCCTAATAAACTCTGATTAAAACGTAAGACTTAATTATTTATTTTCGGACAGCTCTTGTAGAGACTTTTGCGATATTACTTCTGTACCATAATTTTTTAAAAATAATCTCCATTCAAGTACACAGGAGAAAACTTTAAAATGGAGAAATCTTTTACTACTTTACAGACATAAACTTACCGACACTAGGTAGAATAATCATTTTTCACACATGATTTCATGTTTTTCAGTTTATCTAGCACCGCATTCATACTGATAAATTTTCCTAGGGTGAGCAAGTAGGCTCCAGACACAAAATTCTTCCTTTTTTCAGCATGGCACAGCCTTTTTACCTCTGCACAAAATCTTTCAATAGCTTTTCGCTGTGAAAGAAATAATTGGAGTTAAATATAAAATTTATGATCTCACTAAATTGATTTATTCCTTGACAGTAAAAGTTATGTGATTAAAATGTGCATCAAACTTAGAAAACTCTATCACCTACGTTTTTCATGATCAGTATGCGCTGTAGTAACTACCCTCCTGGCCGCCATCAACATTGACAATCAACTGATGATTGTGACCACAGAAGCTGCTGAAATGCAGACTGAGCGTAAAGCATGGTTTGTAAGTAGAAAGTAAGACTTTTCTAGATGTCATGTATGGTTTGATAGGAGTAAATAAATTGAGGAATAATCAAAGTAAAGTATGGAGAGAGTGATGGAGTGAAATTCAAATTCATTATTAGGATTTATTAAGTAATTCCAATTTTTGAGAAAATCAAAGCACAGTTGTAGTGTTTCAGAATCTTCACCAATTTTTCATCCATTATGATCAAGCAAATGTATGTAATTCGTTGAAACTCCGACTGAATATTCTTCATGATTTTATAATTCTCTAGATGAAAATTTTCAGAAGATTCACACAGTAGTTTCCTCTCTGAAAGCATGAAACTTCCCTCAGGGCAATACTTCAAAAAAGTAATTATCATTTGGCAAGCGAGAATTTATCATTGTATAAACAATTGAATTCTAACCCTATAGCATAAATACTAGAAAAAATGAAATTTTCCCATGAATATTGGCAAAAATAAGATGGAAGTCAATAGACGGAAAAACTGAATGAAAATCAAAAAGACTAAGACCTTTGACAAGTCCACAGCCAAGACCGTTTTCTTGCTAAATGCGCCAGGTAATTTCAGGCACGGTGACTGGTATTTGGCATGTACTATAACAATTTTTATTGTTTCAATTGTACCAATTCATACTAAATAAATAAAAAATCACACAGTTGTGCAATATAGGCACCATCACCAGTTTTTGCACCGACCTAAAAAGCAGAGGGAAGTAATTTTAGTTAATTAAGTAAATATTTTTATTAAAATTTTTAATATTAAAGACAAAGAAAATTAATTTAATCATTTTATCAGTGTAATTGATATACTTTCGTTTAGTTACTTGTCTTTTAATTATATAACTAGAGACTACAGGTGTCAAGTGGGTAACCTAAACCAAGTTCTAGCACTGTGGCAATTAGTGGAAATTGTGGTTTGAAGCATTCAAATATCCCTTTTTTTCTTGCATGTTTTTCTGGCCCGGCAAGATCAGTTACACATCTTAGACACATTGGTAGAGTATGTGATGCAAGTTTTCACCTGTAATACACCACTTCAATTGCATACTGAATGTCAAAAACTAACAAAATTAGAATGCTCACCTGAAAATACATGATATTAAGCAGCTTGTTCACTTCAGGACCTAATACTTCAACAGTCTTTTCATAGATTTCCACCCAGTTCGGCTGCTCATTGGACTTTGATTGCGGTATGGCTCCAGAGCAACATCGCCTTGTGTACAGCATGACCGCATGTTCCAAGCCATCTTCCAACAGTTCATTCTGGAGCATTACAAATGGATATTTTACAGGATTAGTAGATTGACAAATTCAAATTCACAACATGGCAAAGCTCTGAATTTTCAAAATGACCAAAACCGGTGTCGATTAAGCCTCAATGAAAAAACCTATTGACTGTTTTCAGTGCATATACCATAAAGGTTCAAAAATGGGTACATTTACATTTAAAGGTCGATCTGCAACGGATTCCTTGGATAGTTTTAAATCTTTAAAATTGACATCAAGGTTCAAATGACCTTCCATCAAAGACATATATGGATATCTGACTTTTTTCTAAAATAGATGCCTCTACCTATTTTCAAAATGTCTGCTTCAAGTTGAAAACACTTGCATAGAACTAACTTTTTGGATATGATGTTTCTAATCCTGCCGTAGCTCTGTAATGATTTAGGTAAGAGTGAAAGAGTCATATCATTTTTTCTGAGTACCGATTGAAGCATGTTATCAGTAGTATCATATTATTCATTCACTGCTAAAAACTTATGATTTCCTCTCATTTTTCTCAAAATTATCTTGAAAAAGCAAGATTTTTCAAAAAATCATAAATTATCATTTATCATCCATTCAATTAAACAGATTAACGGTGGTCAAGTAGCAGGAATGTGAAGCTTCTTAAACTGGCATGAACATAGTGGCTTCTTCAATGTACTTTGCTATGCCAATGACGAACCCATTCCGGTCTTCGAAGTTGGTATCAAAGTTAGCTTGATAAATGAGAGAGCATGGCTAAGCTTCGATAAGCGGTAGTTCATCAGGTAATGTAAGCTCACCTAAGGCGTCAACGTTGGATAAGGCATCAGTTAATGTTCCCCTAGCTGCTGCCATTTTGAGACGTTGACTCCTTTGAGCAAAATACCATCAAAGACATAAAAATGTGACTTGGCAAGTAAGCATTGTTGTACATGGAACATAGAGAAATGAATGGTTTTGAAAACATACCCACTCTATTAGATTAAGAACAGAGAGTACACTGTAAACCAAAAATAAATATTCTTGAGTGTTGCAAGATTCAATACCAGAGAAGGTTGACAGTTAAGAGTAGATAAAATTGGTCAAACAACTTTATGCCTTCAAGAGGTAGGAAAAACTTGTGCTTAACTATCAAAAGTAATGCTGCTAACTTGAGGTAGAGGTGTCGTCAGCTAAGTTGGCACTTGAACACATATCGTTTGCAAGCAATTACAATGCAGTCGTCCAACAGGAATCGAGGATTGACTATAAGCTTAAAGTCAGGCTGCCGTCAATCCCCTATTGCTGTTGGACAATTGCATCACAATAGACGCTATTGGTGGCACATCACAAAAAAGCGATATTTATCAATTTAATCGCATTAGTAGCATTGAAAGAGGTTACTCCAATGTTATTATTTGGATCCAATTTGATATAATGGAGAATCCATATGATGACATCGCCACTAACAGCGTCTATTAATTGCTTCCAAGTGGAATGTAAACAAGTGCCTACTTGGCTGACAACACCTCTAGTGAGCAGAGTAAACAGGTAATTGCGAAAAAATTCAGACTTGAAACAATGGAAATAAAACATGGGACTGGAAGAATGGGTCAGTTGTGCTGGTCTTAGAATCGAGTTTTGATACTTATTAACTCATGCAGATCAACTAAAAATGATACCCGTCCGGCAACGGCCAAAAATAACATTGCCACAACGTTGCTGCAACGTTGCCGCGACATTATTTTTGGCAGTTACATTGTGACAACATTTCCGCATCTACTTCAGGCAACCACTTGCCGGGCGGGTAAGATCTGGCCAAACAGCAAGTTTCTACGTTGAATATTAACCGAGGTATCTCGCCTAAACTCGATTTATGATGTCATCCACCATTGTAGGACGTATCATGTTATGCACTACCGCAGTGGATGACGTCATAAATCGAGTTTTTCAAGGCGGGATATCTCGGTTAATATTCAAGGTAGAGAGTTGCTGTTGGGACTGATGACAGACTTTCTTATTTAGAGCTAATCTACTAGAACCAAGCATCAAAACATGATTCTGTTACCAGAGCAACTGGCCCATTGAATAAAGAAAGAGAAATGATCAGGTGGAGCAGAGGCTAAGCTATCGATTCGCAGGGAAGAGATAATCTAGGTGAGCTTTCAAAATGATGAAATTGGCCGCATTATCATAGCATGACAGCATGCAGACAAACTAACTCTTTCCTTTGGAGATTAAACGACATGAAAGTGAAAAAAGGAGAGGGTTACAGGACATTTAGGGAATGGGGACATTTAGGCAGGGGATTGGGAAACAAAACCTGTAAAACACTGTTCACTGTGCTCAGAGGTTCCTTCTTTAAAGTTAGCTTCAGTCTCACACACAGGAATCGATCGTTGAAACTCTTGTCGGCATGCCCAGGCCAAGGGGATCAAGGTCTTCCAAGCGCAAAGCTCACACATTCCTTATCTTGTCCTGGCATGCCAACAGAGTTTCAAGAACCGGTCTGCATTCATTGATTGACTAAATGAGAAAAGAGGAAATAAAGAGATGCCTCTTGGTCCACAGCAGTCTCCAAGACAAATCCAGCAACAGACAAAAAGACATATTGTTCCGTCACAGGAGTCTGATGACAATTCTGTTAAAACATCGTAAGTTATGGGAACTTCACCACGTTCTCATAAAGGAATCAGTACTGTAAGCTTCCTCAATTTAGTTGAAAGAGAGGCGATTGAAAGCAATACCAAAAAAACGACTCATACACTCATACCTGTAAAGATCCACTCTGAACTTCGGTTTCCCTGCACTTCCCATGGCTTCTTCTTGATTCTCGTTGACCCTGGGGTTAAATCTTCGTCTCGAATTGATGAAATACTTCTAAATAAGCAGAGAACATGACAGTTTTAACGGCTAATAATTAAATAAATTAAAATTATTTGAGCGATCTAAGGGCCGGCAGGACCTGCCCTGGATTAGTGATTACACATGGCCGCTATATTGAATTCCGCGCTACAGGTGGACGAATATCGAATATCGTATCGAATGCGATTATTCGAGTATCGCACTATCGATTCTTTACCATAGCTTCTTACGGGGACACAGCTATAGTCGATCGTTCACGAAGTTTGTCCAGAAATCCGCCTCAACCACTGGACTCCGTTTTTCTCGCACCGGCTCACCGTGGAGAGAGGCCGCGGCTAGAAGTCTTACGATCAGGGACCTTTCTCCTCATTTTACTTTAAAACTTTCAATCTTAGAGGAAAATGTCATAGGACCCGAAATAACGGCCGTAAAATTTCCTATCGGTTCATTACACAAAATTTTCGAAAAAATAATTTTCGTGACCAAAAATAAGGGTTTTAAAAAGGGCGCAGGCAAAAATTCTTATGATCAGCGACCTTTCTCCTCATTTTACTTTTAAACTTTCAATCTTAGAGGAAAATGTCATATGACCCGAAATAACGGCCGTAAAATTTCCTATCGGTTCATTACACAAAATTTTCGAAAAAATAATTTCCGTGACCAACAATAAGGGTTTTAAAAAGGGCGCAGGCAAAAAATATTATGATCAGCGACCTTTCTCCTCAGTTTACTTTTAAAATTTCAATCTTAGACGAAAATATCATAGGACCCATAATAACGGCCGTACAATTTCCTATCGGTTCATTACACTAAATTTTCGGAAAAATGGGAGAGGCGATGGAAATGAATACATACAAGAAAAACGACTCGTACCTGTAAGGATCCACTCTGAATTTCGGTTCCTCCGCACTTCCCATAGCTTCTTCTTGATTCTCGTTGGCCCTGGGGTTAAAGCTTCGCTGCGTCTCGAATTGATGAAATACTTCTAAATGAGCAGAGAAGATGACAATTTTCTCGTGCTAGACTATGAAGTATTCCTTGGTTATTTTGATCGCAGAATTCATTTTTGACCTTACTTTTCTTGATATAATGACGCAAATACACAATTTTACGCGTTCTTTCAAACTTTTTGTAGAAACATAAAACTATAAAGTTAGGTAGGTACTCACAGATAAATTTTACTCGTTCTTGTGGGCATTTCGTGTTGGAACTCGATATCTCAGGGGATTTTTGATCGTAGAATTCATTTTTGACCTTACTTTTGTTGATTTGCTGACACAAACACATGATCTCGGGGATAAAAATGAAGGGTGCTCACCGATTAGATTGCACTCGTCCTGGTAGACATTTCGTGTTGAAACTACGGAAACTAATGGTATTTTGATCGAAAAATTAATTTATAACCAAACTTATGCCAGTAAATATCGTCACCTTCCAGGCAAAGTATAACAAGTGCCATGCGACGTTTAAAAATTTCCGCCGCCATTTTATTTTTTTACAGAGAAATTGTTCAACGAAGCTGTCCGAAAATTTCACTGAATTTTCTTTGTGCTGCCGATAAAATTTACCTAGTGAAATTTCCAAACAGATTCAACCAAAAATTTCTCAGTAAAAAAATAAAACAGCGGCGGAAATTTTTAAACGTCGCATGGCGCTTGTGATACTTTGCCTGGAAGGTGACGATATAATGACACAAACGATGATGACACATAATTGGGGGGAGGGGGGGGGGGGGGGGGTGGCAAGCGGTCCGGATAAGCAAGGCAAGCACTGCTTGCCCAAATATTTCAGAAGAAAGAGGAAAATTAGAAAATGTATTAGTAAGTAAATTGCATTAAAAACAGAAAGAGAGATCGAGGGGCACAGTTACGTACGCAGCAGCCACAAACGTAGGAAAGCGGCGGCAGGGCGGACGGAGGTGGCGCATGGCGCAGCGAACATGGGCCAACTCATATGCTTAAAGAATCGCTTGCAAAGGGCTGAGCGGAGCGCCAGGCGCCAGGCGACTAATCTGTGCGCCAGACTGCTCGGCGGCGGCGGAATCAAGGCAGGCGGGGCGGGGAGAGCGGTACGTTCCTATAGTCCGAGCGCCTCGCTGCTTTTGCCTCCGATGCGCTGTCCGCTGTCCTGTTGCATCTTTCCGTCGCGGTTGCGATTGCTCCCTCCGAGCCAATTTATTGTGTCCTCCATTTCAATACTATGCCGCTCACTTGGATCAACTTGGTGATGAATCAGACAATTCTCAAGCATGTTTATTCGTAAAGAGATGTTTTTTTGAGAAGTATAATAACTCAAAAAATTCTAAACGCTGTGGAGTAACGACTGGATATACCTCAAATGAGTGGCAAATGGAAATCACAAGTAAGAGAGAATGAAATAAAACCATTGTTTTTCAAGACGTTAAATCAGATTTCATCCGAAAATAGAGTAAATTGAAGTTCGCAAGTTCGTAAATTGAAATTATTCAAAGACAGATTTCACTAGTTCCGGTTGAAAATGCACGTAGAATTGTTGATATACTAATTCAAGGACATCATTCCTATGATTTATCAACTTGGTTTTCAATCGTTTGGCTTTTAGTCGTTTCGTAACCCACGGCGACACGACTAACTCCTTTTATCGTGAAATCACCCTTTAAAGTGATGTAGCGTAATTTGGCAACACGCACCTGCAGGAAGAAATGGGAGAATGAATGGAATGCGGAACTGAGGGATGCGGCCCGCGCCCGCCCCGCGCGCCTCCCGCAGGCGCAGGGGGGAAGATGGGGGGAAGCGGAGGACGAATCGGCTTTTAGAGGAAAATGAGGAAATCCGGCGGATTGGAGCAAGGCTCCTGTAGAAATAGCTCTGGACGGATGAGCGACTCTCCTCCCTCTCCTTCTCCTCTCCCGTTCTCTCCCTGCTCCCTTTTCTCCATTTTCTCTCTGCTACGTTTTACTCCGCGAGCGCGGTCCTGCTCTGCCCCCCCGCGCTGCGTCGCGTCGCGCCGGTGCCTCACCTCACCTCTACCCCTTGCCCCTTCATCATATCATTGCGTTCCCCTCTCGCTCTCCTCCAGGTTCGGTAGCTGGTGCGGTCTTGCGTCGCAAGATTCTCTCTCTCCCTCCGCCGCGCCGCGCCCGCGCCGCATGCCGCTGTCGGAAGCCAAGCGCGGCAAGCGCCCAATAATTATTTGCTGTCTTCTATTCAGTATTGTTTCCCACATTCTTAGCCATATTTATTAATTGTTTCAATGTATTTTGTTCGGCAAACACTGCGAAGCTAATGGACGCCACGTCACTGATACAATCAGTTGGATCGATTTTCATTTTAAAACTTGATTCACTTACAGTATTTTCATCGTAGAAGTCAATTTTCGCCTTACTTTTGCTCGTTTGACCAAAATTTATCATTCGTGGAGTTTATGAATTGTTGGTCGGGGTTAGAAAAGCTTTTTTCTAACCCCGACCAACAAAGGAGGCACGCACACCTCTTATGGGAAGCTGCACCACGAGGAATTGCCTTCTGACTTTGGATTCTCCTCAAGATGCTGATCAAAAGTTATAATTGGACCGAGTTTAACAGAAAGGAACCAAGCCACATCAGCGATTGCCAAGTTTAACTGGGCAATTGGATTTTTTACGAGAGAACGGTTGTTCGGATTTCTTTGAAAATTCTAAGGAATTTGCTTCGCACCACGGAGAATTTTCACTGAAATTTGCTCGAAAATCCGCACAACCGTTTTCATGTAAAAAATTAAATTGCCCAATTAAATTTGGCCATAGATGATGTGGCTTGGTTCCTTTCTGTTTAACGCGGTCCAATTGCGCCAACTTTCTACGATGCACCGTTTTCGCAAAAAAGCTAAGTGAAGATTCAATTATTTGGCGATAAAAAGCCAGAAAGATTCCTCATTTCAGTACTCGAGTGAACAAATCAGGGGAACTCCCACACCGACCGGCAGTCTTATCTCGGATTCCGCACGCCGCGGCCGTTTTCCTCGATCGACCATCCAAATCAGTTCCTCTCTCTCTCTACCGCTCTATTCACCTCTTCCCCATGTCTCTGAATCGTTGATCAGTGATCGACATCCAACGTTGCCTGGTTTCACTAATAATTTTTAGTTTCATTTTCGTTTACATTAATTCAGCGGTTGTGATAGAGCTTTTTGAAGGATTGAAGGAGGAGAGGCCTTCAATTCTTCGAGGCACCGATACTGATCTAGGTAGCAACATATCGTGACAGCGTATTATTCCATTCAGTGGCGTGGCGTGTTTTGCGATTTATCGATTTTTACGCCATTTAAACGAATGGAAAATGATCGATAAACAGGGTGTTCGCAGCGAACACCTTAATAATCGATTCTTTACCATAGGTTTAAATTACATATCAATCGATATATCGCAATTCACGCCACGCCACTGATTTAGCTATGCATGTAAGTAGTTCACTTTAGCACAAATACATTCATTAATGATGGTTTTAAAAAAATAAATTGGCAACACCGCCAATTTCGTGAGGAGCATATGAACAGGAAAACGAGCGTCAAGCGGACGCATCGAGAGTGGGAGGAGGGGGATAGCCCTAGAGTCGGCAGGTACAGATAAGAAGACGGACACGCGCTAGGTACGTTTTTTCCTTATTTACATCGCGGGCCTGTTCTCAAATGCTTTGTTCTTTTTTATTCATAGTCGCCGAATAATTGAATCTTCACTTAGCTTTTTTGCGAAAACGGTGCATCGTAGAAAGTTGGCGCAATTATAACTTTTGATCAGCATCTTGAGGAGAATCCAATGATATAAGTCAGAAGGCAATTCCTCGTGGTGCAGCTTCCCATAAGAGGTGTGCGGGGTCCTTTTGGGCACAAAATTCTAGCTTAACAATTTTAGGCATTTAATG